TATAGGGTGCGATTTGTGAAGAAACCAAAGGGGGGGATGTTTTGAAATTACATTCAATTTCATTCAATTACATTCAATTTCATGAGTTTTTGAATAAAATATAATATAATATATGAAATAATTCAGCAGAGGCAGGGATGAATAGACCAGAAGGGGGGAAATCCCCCCTACAAATCGCACCCTGTATGTATGTGTATATATATATATATATATATATATAATACACATATAGTATAGGCTACTGTACGAAGTGAAAACTGGTGGAACTTGGTGAAAAGCTGGTTACTTCATTTCTAAGGTTACATTTTGCACAAGAAATTGGATTGTTCTTTTTTGCAGGACATGACATGTGTGACCAAAAACCTTCTTATTTTAAAATCAAGCCAACAGCAATAGGCTATGTGATATCGATATGTGATATACAATGAGCTCCTGTGATATCGAGTACTGCTTGTTCTCTCTAGGTCAGTCTCTCCTCCGTTTACTCACAATAGATGTGGATTGTAGTAAGTTAGCTTTGTTGACGGCTAGCCTGGTCACGCCTCCAGTCTTCACGAGACCGAGAGGAGGAGGAATTTCCCCATGTAAACAGTTACGTTATCCACAACAAAATGGCGAGGACTAATGGTTTTATTTGAGCACTTTAGACACCTTTATACGCTTTACACTTTTATTTTTTATAACCCAGTCCGGTAACTTATTAATTGTTACAACATGTGTAGTCGGACAGTTTGACTTCCAAGGTAAATATGATCCGTGGTCTTGTGCGGAGATGCAACGACTGCGGATCTTTATATCAATTATTACTTCTTTATAAATAACAATAATAGTATTTTTATATTATACTTTTAAACCCGTATAAACCCCTTCTTTCCCACCGCAGTGAGCAGAGCTTCGGAGAAACTGAAACGGCTCAAAGTCCTTTAACCTGGTGATAGTCTGAAGACTGGTTGAAGTTCAGCTCTGCGCTTAACCTCTCCCTCACATTAAATTATGATTTGTCACCGCTACTACAGCGGGATACAGCCGTAAAGCGTTACGGCTTATAATTTGTTCTTGTACTGTATATCCGTTGAAGCAGATGCTCTCACCCGTTTAAGGAGAACTATCGGGGGACAAAAACCTAAAGCTGAGATCTAATATAGCGATTTGAATGATGGAACCAGCAGCGAAGCAGAAAGTGATTTACATCATCTACCTCATCGCAGCGCTGGACATCACCAGCTTTTTTCCCTTAATAAATGAAATCATCATTTAAAAACAGCATTTTGTATTTACTTGCATTATCTTTGTGCAATATTATATTTGTTTGATGATCTGAATCTTTTAAGTGTGACAAATATGCAAAGAATTAAAAAAACAGGAAGGGAGCCAACACTTTTTCACACCACTGTGTGTATATATATATATATATATATATATATATATATATATATATATATATATATATATAGGGTGCGATTTGTGAAGAAACCAAAGGGGGGGATGTTTTGAAATTACATTCAATTTCATTCAATTACATTCAATTTCATGAGTTTTTGAATAAAATATAATATAATATATGAAATAATTCAGCAGAGGCAGGGATGAATAGACCAGAAGGGGGGAAATCCCCCCTACAAATCGCACCCTGTATGTATGTGTATATATATATATATATATATATATAATACACATATAGTATAGGCTACTGTACGAAGTGAAAACTGGTGGAACTTGGTGAAAAGCTGGTTACTTCATTTCTAAGGTTACATTTTGCACAAGAAATTGGATTGTTCTTTTTTGCAGGACATGACATGTGTGACCAAAAACCTTCTTATTTTAAAATCAAGCCAACAGCAATAGGCTATGTGATATCGATATGTGATATACAATGAGCTCCTGTGATATCGAGTACTGCTTGTTCTCTCTAGGTCAGTCTCTCCTCCGTTTACTCACAATACATGTGGATTGTAGTAAGTTAGCTTTGTTGACGGCTAGCCTGGTCACGCCTCCAGTCTTCACGAGACCGAGAGGAGGAGGAATTTCCCCATGTAAACAGTTACGTTATCCACAACAAAATGGCGAGGACTAATGGTTTTATTTGAGCACTTTAGACACCTTTATACGCTTTACACTTTTATTTTTTATAACCCAGTCCGGTAACTTATTAATTGTTACAACATGTGTAGTCGGACAGTTTGACTTCCAAGGTAAATATGATCCGTGGTCTTGTGCGGAGATGCAACGACTGCGGATCTTTATATCAATTATTACTTCTTTATAAATAACAATAATAGTATTTTTATATTATACTTTTAAACCCGTATAAACCCCTTCTTTCCCACCGCAGTGAGCAGAGCTTCGGAGAAACTGAAACGGCTCAAAGTCCTTTAACCTGGTGATAGTCTGAAGACTGGTTGAAGTTCAGCTCTGCGCTTAACCTCTCCCTCACATTAAATTATGATTTGTCACCGCTACTACAGCGGGATACAGCCGTAAAGCGTTACGGCTTATAATTTGTTCTTGTACTGTATATCCGTTGAAGCAGATGCTCTCACCCGTTTAAGGAGAACTATCGGGGGACAAAAACCTAAAGCTGAGATCTAATATAGCGATTTGAATGATGGAACCAGCAGCGAAGCAGAAAGTGATTTACATCACCTACCTCATCGCAGCTCTGGACATCACCTGGCTCTTCCTCCAGTTCTCCATAACACCGGTTCGTCTTGCTTTTCGACTTCATTTGGGATCAAATGTTAAATAAAACCACCTTTGAATCGATTTAGCTGAGCCCTGGAATATCTGCAGGGCTTTGGCTGTGTTCTCACATTTGACACGTGACATTCCAGCAAACAAACTAAGTCTTTGATCATGTGAACTAAATGTTTACACTTAAATTTAATATTTTTTTATATAATACCATTTTTATGATAAATCATTATACTATACATCACATGTATGTATGTGTGTATATATATATATGTGTGTGTGTGTGTATATATATATGTAT